GGTTAAACCTGTTCACACCTTACAGTATCTTTACATTAGATTGTAAACAACCTTTAAAACGTCGGATCTGCTGACGCCTACAAAATGCATTGTATATTTGACTGCATGGTACAATGCCATGTCTAAATCATCGCACGTTACACCTTTTGTTTTGTGTCTTTATTTTTGGCTTCCACGTTTTCCTAAAGGGCGCACTAGTTCTAGCGCACGCAAGGTTCTTCTAGGGGGTTCTTCGCAACTATCAAACTTCAGGGAACTCATCTACAAGTGAGTCGTGCTTCCTGTCAGTCTCCGGTTCAATACGTGGCCGTTCGTTGCATCCCCCCCCCCCCCTTTAAATGTATTTGCCATTGTACTTCATAATAAGCCCACACCTTTGAGCTTATCAACGCTGGAGTACACGTTCTGTACTACCAGGCGAGCAATTGCACGTCAGTATTCTGTAGAATGTTGTAGTCGACGTTTCCCGAAAGTGCAACCTATTACACTGGAACAGTTCCCGGATAACGCATATGGTGAACGCTACTGCCGAAGAAAATTTTGTGGCACATGGCCCAGAACATCTGCCAGGGTCGCTAGAGCAGATGGGCCGAAAGAAGTGGCATCTGGTGGTGCTGTGAGGAAGCCAGTTGTGGCTGAAGCATGCATTTTGTATCGGCTCTTGCAGTGTTTGCCTACACCGACGAAAGACCATTTGAAAGCTCTATACATATCACTGTAAAATATCTACATTTATCAGAAGTTTTTTCAGTAGATGAATACAAGGCCCTTCGCACAATGGTTTGAAAAGATTAAGCAAAATAAACTTCGTTCCAAGTGGCTCCTCCAATGATTGATTTGATCGATATGTGAATTTTAATGTCCCAAAGCCACCATTTGTGTATGAGAGATTCCGTAGTGTAGGACTCTGAAAATTTCGACCACCCGGGATTCATTAACGTGACGTGCGAACAAATCTGAGCACACGAGCTTACAGCGTTCTCGCCTCTATTGAAAATGCAGCCGCCGCAGCCGGGATTTGATCCCGCGACCTGTGGGTGAGCAGCCGAGTACCTTAGCCAGTAGACCACCGCAGCGTGGCAAGCGGCTCCTCTAACCTAGTTTAATCACACCTGTCAAAATAGAATATTTTCAAAAAACTGCCTGTACCATTTAGGTTATCTACCACTTTCGAAAATTGTGATGCATTGGTTTTATTTAGTGCAATATTGTCAAGGGTAGACATCGTATTATTGCATGGTTTAATTTTGCTTTGAATCGGGACCACTGTACCTTATTATTTTAAAATAATTGTGGTGTTTACTCATTTATAATATTCCTCTCGAAAGTGTTCTGTTCTTCGAGGGATTCACCTTTATGATGCATCCTATGTAAAAAAAAAAAGACTCCAAGACGTCTAAAAAATGAAATTACTGTAATGAAAACACCTCTGAATACTCTGGTCAAACGAAAGAACTTCAATTGAAAATAGTGTGGTTTGGTATTTCCAAAAGTTAATAAAAAATGCGCGTACCGTAAAAAATGTTCTTAGTTTGGAAAACACAAAAATATTTTGTAAGCATAGAAGGAGTTATTACCAGATATTTAACATTGAAATGTAGAAGTATACAGTAAAATAACTCTCGCATGCGTAAAATGTATACGGTAGTTACTTGAAAATACTTGAAATTCTCGCTCACTTACCTGATGCACAGAACATTACTACATAAGTGAGCTAGATATGACTGAGTGGCTGGCAATAAAACACCCGATCTCGGAGAGAAGTCTTAAACAATAGGACCTTTACAATTTACTGTAGATATGTCACACATAGTTGGTGAGGCGTACATATTACTTTTTCTATTGCATGGCTGCTTTCAGCAACTTCCTCATTTAACAAGAGGCTGTAGAGATCTTTTTGACCCCTGATGACCTCTTGTCGGCCTACCTTCTGCGGATTCTCTTCTCCTTGCTTCTGAACATTCAAGTACTCATGAATATTCAAATCTTCAAACAGCTACGACACCCACGCTATATGCACTTCCTCAGCAAAGGAGAAGCAAAGAGCGGATGTCACATTTAATTATTGTAAGGTGCATTGCCATTTTGCATAGTCAATGAAACGGCTGCACATTACTTGCAAATACCACTGATAGCTAGTCCCGTCAAGGGTACACAGTTGAAAGCTTCAGTGTGAGATTTCTGCATTCAGCCTAACACTGAGAGCTGTGCAGGGTATAATACCATCAGGATTCACTGAAAGCATTTTTATATAAAATTTGTTGAAAAGAAAAAAGAGAAGCAATAAATAGTTTTTTAATCAAACTTAGTCTCCCAATCAACTCTGAATGAGCAAAAACTCACCGAGCTCAACGTTGCTTTTCATTGAATATGGCCTATACTTTATGGCTGCACACATGTACCGAATTCTACAGTGCAAGACTTTTTTTTTTTTTGCCAAGCCAAAAGTGAAATGCTTGTAAAAAAAACGGTCATAGAGATATGTTGATTATAAAGGATATTCGCATTACTTTCTTAAAATGTTTGCCTTAGATTACTGTTATGGTAGTTGGGAAAAAGGAAAGTCTTGCAAACTATCTAACTGTTTACATTTGCCGAACATTGTGATAATAACAACTTGAACATGCACTGGTAGTTTCGCAAATAAAAGTTTTTAATCAATTGAGGCCTTTTTGTTTGCAGAGAAGATTACTTGATTTAACCCACCGAACAATCATTAGTGCATCATCAGCTGAATTTTACATTGTCTTTTTCTTGTTGCCATTTTCTGTTGCAAAAGACACGGGTGCTGTGAGTTTTCTCGACTTCCGATCACACTTTTCTAAAGAATGTAGTACAGTTCTGACGTATTGATCAAAAGTTTGAGTGATTTCATTTCTGCTATATGCGAAATCCATTCGATAAGAGTGCGTATTTTTCAGTGACATCAGGAATAGCTACTTCATTTACTTGAATGTAGCCTCGATTCTGATGGTAATGCAACATGTGACATATTGTTGCGTCCTAACAAAAAAGTGTTTACTTCGCTACTCGATTGTGACACGTGAGTTAACATTAGGTAGCAAGAATCTGCAAAAGTGAACTCGCGTTGCATTTGAGTGAATGCGGTATTATACCACAGAACGATACGAATTTTCTTTAAAGTTATTGTGTACCACGCTTCCACGGCGTATAAAAATGTACTGCCAGAGTACTTTTATAATGCTTAGTTTTGAAACAGGCGAACGTCTTACACAAAAACGCCCATGTCAAAGAATCATTCAAGATGCCACCCTTGAAAATATTGGAAATATTGGCGCTAATAAAATCATTATTTTCAGATACAGAACTGTCGTTTAACCTAACTGGCTTCCTTATGAGTTAAAGAAAAGTCCGCTATGAATGTCGTACAATACACTCGCACATTTTCGGAAGTTCACTTCCTGTCAGGCAATCATGTTTCTTTTAGATAATGACCATATTGATGAGCCTATTTAAGACGTGTTGATGGCTCTCTTCAGAACGTTCTTTCCCAGAATATTGTTCATGCCAGCATGGACAAGGCAACTTTTGTACTACTACTCATCTTCTCAAACATTGTACCCCTACTCGCGTGGGGTAGTATGGGTAAGTTTTAAAACATTTATCCGTGATTCTCAGGCCATGCTTCATGTGTACAGCTTAGGTTTGTGGTTGCGCGATATTAAACCTATAATTAAGTTCATTGAATGAAATATTTTTCACAAGTTCCACGTGCGGATCATTTCGACCCGTGCTCACTTCAAGGGATATATGAAAAACTCAAGGCAAGGACTCATTGAAGTGTCACAAAAGGCATGGCATCAGCTACATTTTTCGAGTGCCTATGACTGTACTACTCTGAAAACAAATATTGATGTATTGAATATAAGTAAGTGACGGAAAATAATTTGTGTGCATTTGAGTAATGCAGTCTAGTCTCACTACTTTGAAACTGGTTCAAATGTATGAAGCCTTGTTCATGTTTATTTCTTATAATATTTGCTGCGTTTTGTTCACATGAGTAGAAGTTACGCAAGAAGCGAAGTCATAGTTCATAAAATGTTAGCAGCGCTCTGGTGTCCATGCACTAATGGCTCATTTACACAATAATTCTGGAGATCCTGTCATTGAGGGTGTGTTAAATGTTCTGGCACACTAAAGTGGAAAACAAGCGTTTTAAAGTTTGCGTGATTTTGCCGTCAAGCTACCAATAAGTCATAACTGATGAAGTCATTAGCAAGAGTCACTTCTTGATGAACAATGACCCTAGTGCAACAAATGGGTTTATTTGAAATCACTCGCTTCGAATCTCTAGCTTGATACTCTAATTGCCATTGGCTCAGTCAGCTGGGCTTTGCGATTCACCGGTGTTGTTGAGCGTCTTAATATGTACTGCAGTATATAGCGAGTACACGCTGACGGTTTTCTACGGATACACTCGCCTTACAAGCACATTTTTGCTGGTACGCGTGAGGGTCTTTCTGACAAAACGCGGGCCTGGCAAACCTCGAAAGTGTAACGAAGGGCAAGAAAATACAAAAAAGGTACGCCTTGAATTTTCACTGCAGCTGCGCTAATATCCATCGATACATGGATTCGGTAGGGTAGTGGCGTCTTGCGGAACGAAAAACACAAAGCTTCTGTGTGCATTCTGAGTGTCGTCAAGCCGGTAGACTCTAATGTCCGCTCGTCCTTGCCACGCGCTTATTGCGTGTCTCTTTTACGCATCTATAGAACGAGATGCCGTGTGAACTTTCAGATCCTGTGTTGCAGTGCCACCTCATATAGAATACTTAAACCGTTGCATTCGTATTGAGCCCGTACTTTATTGATCCATGAAAACTTGCTTTTCAAGTGTATTGGTTTGCGTTTTGCACGTCTATAGATATTCTGTAACAAGCAACATAATTGAACGTGAATGCTGGAAAAACAGTCCAATTTGCGCATGTACTCCATACATATATATTGTAAAAGGTTGTGTGTGTACATCTGTGTTTCTTATGGAATCTTCCCAAAATGCAGCTCAACTGGCGGCCTCGGAAGAAGAGTAGCTGAACCAAAAGGTATGCGATGTTTCACAATATTAGTATAACAATAACAATTCTTGTAACCCTAATTAGGAACATGGTTTATCTTGCCTTGACTGTACTATTAATATACAGGTTCTTTGAGCTACATTACAGCGACGCGTTAAGGGAGAGTGCAAACAGCACGACAGTAGCATATTCGAGTTCACATTTTCCAAAACTCCAAAACTAAAAAAGCAAGTTTTTGAGGTAAAAATCTGAAAACAACTGAACTCATTTTTAGGACTTCTGAACATGAAACACCTTTACTCGAAGTGATGGCCTCTGCCATCAGGCAGACTGCAGCCTGAACAAGTTTCACCATCAGTGTGCTGTGACACGTCAGACCAAAGCTGTTACGTGCGTGTAGTATACAAGCCCAGAATGACTGCGTGAGACAGAAATTGAATTGTATTTTCATAGGATGTTTCTTACATCGAAACTTCCGAGGCACAGATCACCGTCGACCGACACCCACTTGCTACAGTATACCATACTAAGCTCCGCTAGTGTGCCCAGTCATTAGAACGCTTGAATTCATATTTAGAGAATCCGAGTTCAAATCACCCTCTCCCCTCCCCCCCAAAAAAAGAGTTTTAAGAGCGCCTCTGTTAAAGATCAAGGTAAAACGTCGGGTGTACGCGAAAAACTGCTCTGCAGCATTAGTTACTGGAGCTACTGCCTGCTGCTGCATGCTTCCGCTGTTAATGTTGTTGTTCGACTCTACTCCATCTACAGCAAAGGAAAGGCCCGGCATCAGCCAAGAAGGTCACGCGAAGCCACTAAGATTGACCAACTTTGTGTTTCTTAAGCATTACGTGGCTCAAAGTGGCTCAAATAGACTTTATTCTTTTCTTTCACATTTCCCTTTTTTATGTTCCATATTTTCCTTTTCACCTTTCTGTTTATCAATTTTTTCTCTTCTCGCTGTGCTCTGTGACATAAAATGATATCAAAACAGTCAATTTAGTAATTATGAAACCGTTGCGAGATCAAGTATATTCCGTGTACCTAACCAATGTTCGCCGAACACAGAACTTCGGCACCAGATGTTCTGCAGTCTAATCACAACCTGGACGATGCTTTCGCAGTTTTGATACGATCGCATGATTTCGTACTCAGTGACATAAACCGAGCCCACAACCTATCGAGATGGCGCGCGGAAGAACTGACTTGATTACAAGTTCTCCTTCACTATCCCAGACGAAAAGTGGGTTCATCTGGTAATGGACTTTGTTTAGCTTAATGATAAAAACCGCCAGGCCTGCGCTGAACGCGCAACACTGTCACAGTGGAAGCTAGAAGAGCGTCCTTTCAGAGCCTTTTCAATACTCTTTGGATAGCTGCTGCAGCACACTTGCAGGGTACCCACTACGCCATTACTATGTCACCCTCATTCACTATGCCAGGCATTTACAATGCCATTCTTCGACATCATCCGGAGAAGCGTGGTATTTGCTGCACACTTGAAAGGAACTTTGTATAGTTTTTTTGTGCTTTGGCTGATGATGAAGCAATATACCAGAAGGTTTTCTAATCCCAACAATCTTCCACAGTGGGCGCGCACCACAGTTGAACAAGATGTAAAAGGTTGGAGCATTTGACGACCCACTTGTTGCGCAATTCGAATTATTCGACACTTCGTGTTTCCTTTGTTGTTCTACAACAATTTGTAACTGATTTAACGCGACTCCTTTTCCAACATCAAGCCTGCTGAAGGCTAGTTTCCAATGGAGTTCCAAATTCCAGCGTGGTTAAGTGGTAGAATACTGGGCTAACGCGCAGGGGACACAGGTACAAATCCCACTGTGTCCTTAGTCGTATTTATTTATTTATTTACTGAGGTTTTTTTTATTTTGTGCGATAGTGGCTAGGACACTGGCCGCGGCTGTGGAGGTGGACAACTACGGCGCTTACGTGACCTATGTTATCAACTCACAACAGCTTTCAGTGTAGTAAGGGTATGACACTCAGGTAATACTGATGAGAATTTCACGCATATAATGCATAAAAAACAGCGAAAAGTGAAAGCTGTTATGAGTATTCGAGTTCACATTTTCCAAAACTGAAAGAAGCAAGTTTTTGAGGTGAAAATCTGAACACAACTGAACTCATTTTTAGGACTTCTGAACATGAAACACCTTTACTCGAAGTGATAGCCTCTGCCATCAGGCAGACTGCAGCCTGAACAAGTTTCACCATCAGTGTGCTGTGACACGTCAGACCAAAGCTGTAACGTGCGTGTAGTATACAAGCCCAGAATGACTGCGTGAGATAGAAAATGAATTGTATTTTCATAAGACGTTTCTTACATCAAAACCTCCGAGGCACAGATCACCGTCGACCGACACACACTTGTTACAGCATATCATACTAAGCTCCGCTAGTGTACCCAGTCAATAGAACGCTTGTATTCATATTTAGAGAATCCGAATTCGAATCACCCTCTCCTCCCCCCCCCCCCCAAAAAGAGTTTTAAAAGCGCCTCTGTTAAAGATCAAGGTAAAACGTCGGGTGTACGCGAAAAACACTCTGCACCATTAGTTACTGGCGCTGCTGCCTGCTGCTGCATGCTTCTGCTGTTAAGGTTGTTGATCGACTCTACTCCGTCTACGGTAAAGGAAAAGCCCGGCATCAACCAAGAAGGTCACGCGAAGCCCCTAAGTATGACCAACTTTGTGTTTCTTAAGCAATACGTGGCTCAAGGTGGCTCAATTAAACTTTATTCTATTTTCACATTTTCTGTTTCTCTCTTTTATATTTTCCTTTTCCCCTTTCTGTTTATCCATTTTTTTCTCTCTCTCGCCGTACTCTGTTTCACCCTTCAGAGTTTTTACAGGCCAGGAGTTAGCATTGAGTAGCGTGACTTGTTCTAATTCTGTGGCACATACCCTTACATGTTTATGATAACTTCGCCACAGGGTTCACAATGCCGCTCCCCGGCTTAAACAACTTTGCTGTTAAGGATCCGCGTAAGCGTACTCTGCCGGAATGAGTGAATTTTTATGTGCTGCACCACACTTCACAATGTAGCAAAATTTGTGCATTATACAATGAAGTCAAAATGATCGAAAAGTGATATCAAAACAGACCATTTATAAATTATCAAATCGTTTCGATTCCTTTCGAAATCGTTTCGATCATGCACCTTCACCATCTTCCCCCACGAAAACAATATTTATGTAGATAGAGTACACAAGTAATGTCTTGTATTATTAGTGGAACAATAAACTTACATGCTTAACAACGTCTCCATAAGACGAGTGCTTGTTTGGTGTTACGGAGCAAAAAAATCACGTGATTGTAACCGTAGTGCAGATGTGCGGCCCTGATTGCGGCTACTAGTAAACCTGTAGTACACAAATTCTGCGTTCGGTAAGCATTGCAGACAGCAGCATGGGAAAAGTAACTAGCTTATTCTCTACCACGATCTACATCACAGGTGAGTATGGATCTTAGGGACGTAACGTTTTCAGTATAAATAAGGGGGAACTGCTTTTAATGTGGGTGTTATGTCTTTCAAATCAACTATTTGTTGTTAGAAATAATTTCTTACAGTACCGTCTCATACTGAGCGAATAATTGCAAACATTTCTCCAATTTTTTTACAGTCCAAACACTACGTCAACGACGTACAGGTACGTATTTCGTAGACACATCTGTTTAGTCGAATTGTTTCTATCGGTTCAGTTTCGTTAAAAATTCAAACAGGACTTCCGTTGAAAGCTTGCTAAGCAAACTTTAGCTCTCTATATTTATTTCATGTAATATAGATTTATTTTCTTGTGAATCCATCATGCGGAATATAAACATACATAACCCTGTCCAGTCAACAGAAAATTCGTTTACATTTAACAAACAAGTATGAGAGAGATTGATTTCGAGCGAAAAAATACTACTAGAAAGTGATCGCTTTTCTACTACTGCATGTGTGATGCATTTTACCATGTGTACACCTATCAGGTATTTAGGCAGCATGAAATTTTCAAATAAACAGTTTGATAACCAAACAACAAAGAAAAATATGGCTGATCCCGCTATACCTGTGTCGTATGACTGTGACACACCGGTGAATACACCTGTGTCAGCGCAATCAGTATGACACGAACGTGAAGGGCGTCTCCACAGACGTAGGAATTTTTCATTTTACATTGGTACACGAGAGCATGCAAAAGCAAATCGTTCATCGGTGCTTAGCAGCTATATCATAGTTTGACATGAATGCGCCCACATAAACATCTCGGTGACATAGGTTCAATACCACTATTTAACTCTTCTGGTAGCTTAAGTGATTATCACAAACTTGAATTCAGCACATGGTAAAAGGCTCAGAAAGGCCGCTCGTTTAGCTTTCGCTGTGACTGTACTGCGCCTGTCTGCCACGCAGGCCTGGTGCATTTTGAAATTTTGCTTTTCTTATTTATTTGTGCATATATATATACGCGTGCGTGCGAGCGGGCGCGCGCGTGTGTGTGTGTGTTTGTGTGTGGGAGAAGAAGGTGCTCTTGGATCCTGTGGAACAATACTAAAAAGTATAGGACCTTGCGAAAGATGAAAAAATCACCGAGAGAGCTATATGGTCATTAATCTCCCTTAGTGCCACCCCGGGGCGATTTCATATCCTGCCAAAAATACACAAAGCGAATAATCCTGGTCGACCAATTGTGTCGGCTATTGGCACCGTCACTGAAGCAATGTCTAGCTTCGTCGATAATCTCATCAAGGATATTCCATCCACTTTCAAATCTTACCTGAAAGGTACAAACAATTTCTTGCTCGACATCATTGACCTCGACGTACCATCTGGTTCTTTACTTGTGACACTAGACGTAGCCTCACTCCATTCGAACATCCTGCACATCGCCCCGCCGTAGTGGTCTGGTGGCTAAGGTACTCGGCTGCTGACCCGCGAGTTGTAGGATTGAATCGCGGCTGCGACGGTTGCATTTTTGGTGGAGGCGGGAATGCTGTGGCCCGTGTGTTCAGCTTTGGGTGCACGTTAAAGAACCCAAGGTGGTCGAAAATTTCCAGAGCCCTTCTCCACTGACGTCTCTCATAATCATTGGGTGGTTTCGGGATGTTAAACCCCATATATCAATCAATCATCCCGCACGTTGATGGCATTCAAGGAGTATTGGAGGCTTATGAAGAAAAAGTTTTTAACAAAGCGGTAGATGGCAATACACTAGCACAGTTACTAGAAGTAATCCTCACCTTGAACAATCTTGAATGGAATAGTGCACATTATGCACAGGTTAGTGGCACTTCTATGCATACAAATGTAGGGCCAAGCTATGCGAACATCTTCATGGGCCAACTTGAAGATAAATTTTTAGACACATGCAGTCTCAAACCATTTTATTACAGGCGTTATATTGGCAATGTGTTCCTGATCTGGCGGCACGGAAAAACAGAACTTCTGTCGTTCATTGCATACTTCAACAATGCTCATACCCCCGTCTGTTTTTCAGAATTATACTCAAGCACAGCAAACAATTTTCTTGACGTCACGGTTGCTATACGTGCTAATCAACTGACGTATAAACTCTTTGGAAAACCCACAGATAGGCAGTCATACCTACATTTCGAAAGTGCACGTCCAATGCACTGCAAAATGGCACTCCTATAGGTCAAGCACTACGTTTTAAGAAATATACTCAACAAATTCAGATTTTACAGACAACCGCATCAAACTTTTGGGGACCCTACAGAAACAAAAATATTTACCACAAATTATCATATGAAAATAAACGGGCTATTGACATTAACCATAAGGAACCTTTTATTCTAAAGGAGAACGCCACACCCTTCGAACACGAACCTGGTTCTAACACACTCCGCATCAGCACCAAACATCAACAGCATTCTTAGAAGCATTGCAACATACTACTACAGAGTTATCACTTAAAAAATACCTTTCCTGATTCCCCCCATGTGGTATATCGCAGATTGAAGAACTTACGCGACTTACTAACATCATCAAGAATTACTCCCACTCTTTTTCTGATTTTCATTCATGACAATAAGAAACAACATGACGAAGACAACTTCGGTTAAGAGCATAGCATCAAACATCTATCGATAAATAAATGCGGATTTTCGAGGGCGACTCAAGCAATATTTTGTACATGGTTGAATGCTCTGTGTGTAAACTCCAATACATTGGAAGTACTGAAACCCCTATTAGACAGCGTTTTAATAACCCCAAGTCACATGTCACAAGCCTACCTAATGTACTGTTGTCTAGGCACATTCAGATTCTTGGTCTCACCTTCGATAATCTAACAGCTACTGTAAACGAGGGCACGCCTATCTCGCAACAGGCGCCTTTGGTGATGTACTCTCGCTCTGAGAGAGACCAGAAATATAATCACAATCGGCAGGAAAAACTACGCGTTATGTAAAAGTGTACGATTAGGTATACTTATCGCGCTTATTCAAGCGCAATGTCAGCTGTTCCTTTTTACAGCAGTGATTTGCGGGCAGTATGCCTGTAGTATGTGGCACCATATTATTGCCGTACTCTTTCGCTGGCCGCATCTCAATTGTAAGATACACGTATTACGGCTCACGCGTGGATGCATGCACCACGCATTAGTACAACTGTAACGACCTACTATCGCGATGCAAAGAGAAGTGAGCGGCGCGGAAAGCACGGGTTTTGATTTGGTCGAACTGCGACATGCCTTGACTGTCACTAGGTGAATATGTGCTATTGGCCGGCGTCGTCATAGCATTCTAAAATCTTGTTTTGGCTGGCACTTTTGCACCGCGTGTGGGTTCCGAGTGCCCGGCAGGACTAGCAATCGATACACATGCGGAGCATGAGCGTAAGTCGGGGCCAGATTTTAGCGCTGCGTTGACGCCAGCTTGCAGCAAAAATTCTGCCTTGTCACAGACAAAACACGCCACAGTTTGACTGATTCAAAAGTAACGCTTTCCACTGTTCGCGTTTCTTTCAGTCGGATAGTACGTACCTGATGAAGTTGCTTCCGCAGTCAGCAATGAACGTGTTTTAGACATTTCGGACTGTCGAGGAGTGTCTCCTCGAAGTTTCCCACGAAATAAGCACAAAATTCCAGTAGACGAACTGCTCGAAACATGCTTGGAGCTGGATTCGGGTTGTGAGGTGTTGCGTTTGATTTGCCGAGCGTCGGCTCGCGTGGAAGTGCAGGGTATGGCTTTGCCGCACTTGTAACAGATGGCGCGACGCGCTTTTCAATATGGCAGCAAGCACTGAGCTTGCTGTGTTCTGGTGTACATTGAAATCAGTTTTCTCTTGACACTTTATAATGGAACTGCGCGAATCATTTATTATACACAAGTTCCACGCGGTCTCATCTGGTATAAATTAAAATGCCGGCAAACTGACGTTTCTTTCAGCACAGAACTACGTTCTAGCTTCATGACAGTCTGATTATAATCATTGTACACGCTTATTTGTACTACACGTTTTTGCTGGTGTGCTTTTCTTCACTTTATTTTATCGATTGTGTTTGTGCCACATGAAAATGTTAGTAACACATCTTGTTTCATTCGAGCGTTTTGTGCTATACCTTCATGTGTTCTTTTTTGTGTGTGATTTGCTATATAGGTTTGATAGTATGATTTTTTCTGTGGATATTGTCAATTTTTTAAGGTGCTATTTATGTGATCTACTTTATGGAAACATCATTCATGCATTCTCATATCATTGCTCTGACAATCTATGCTCACCGTTCATAGGTCGCCAGATTGCTGTTAATATAGTGCTGTTAAGGTAGTGAGGAAGGTAGTGAGTGTAAGGTAGTGATGGTTCACGTGTAAGGGGCCCCTTATATGCCATGCCTACTTGAGAAAAGTACATTTTTGTGTCAAGCCGGTCCCCACCTGAAGCGTAGGAAAAATAAGATTTTCATTTTGCCCGTCCTCTAATGCTTACACACACACACACACACACACACATACATACATACATATATATATATATATATATATATATATAATATATATATATATATATATATATATATATATATATATATATATATATATATATATATATATATATATATATATATATATATATATATATATATATATAACGTAAGAAGGTAGTAATGGTTAGGAGTTAGAAGTAGAAGCCGAGAAGGAAGCAGTGAGAATAGAACGAGTTGGCAGGATGAAGACCTGGCCGCCACTCATCAGCCAAACATCATTCACGAAGCCATCAGCAATACATCTCAACTGAATATCGACCACAGAAGAGTTGATCGCAGGCGCATGCAGTTACCGGCATCATGACAGAACCATCGACTGACCTTCCCATCCCCAAGTACACCAGAGCAGCAGACGATAGACCTGTACAGGACTGGTTCGAACTTTTCGAGCTGCACGCTACCGCTGCATCATGGTCGGAACGGGAGATGGTTGCCAACTTTACCGACTAAGTCTCTGGTGAGGCCTTCAAATTCTACCTCACTCACATATTTCGAAACGACGAGTCATGGGGAAAGATGAAACAAGAGGTGATCGTCTGGTTTAAAGAATACACTGACGACTACGACGAACATTGGCTTGTAACCCACCATCCACAGAAAATCACGCTCGGTCGTCACAGTCAAAACCAGTTTTTGTGCATGAACCCACCTCCTGCTTT